TCCAATGCCTCTGTAACCACTTCCTATTGGAAATATCACCTCAGTTTTACTGACAGTTTCATTACCAACTGAAGTTAGGTAGATGCATCTTTGAAGACATTAATTATGGGAATTGTATTACTGCTGAACAACACCAAATACCCCTGATTACTTCTAGGCTGTTACAGCAATAGAGCTCAAATGTACAGTTGCCTGGCAAATATTTATGCAATTTCTCCTATTTATCCTCCATTTATGATTAAACTTTGAATGCTACTAATATAAAGGTAAAGTACAGTATTGTAAAATTACAGGAGCACACAGATTGTAACCTGAAGCTGTAGCTATCATCAGCTGGCATGGAAATGACCAAGTCTATTTAAATTGTTTGACCATCTTCCTGGACCAAATTTGTCCCATAGATCAACAGACACTGACCCCGAATCTAGGATCTAACAGAACTGTAGATGATAACCTAAAGGTGTAGATCTTTTCCGTGCCAGCTTTTCAATTGTCCAAATTTATTTTTGCAATTGCCATTTTCAGATTAGATCTAAGTGGGCAGCTGTGTTGGTCTGAAGCAACAGAACAAAGTTATTTTCAAATTACCTTATCATACATTTAAAATAATACTTACTTGATATTTGCCTTGAAAATGTAGGTTATACATCACCAACACAGATATAAACCACAAAGAACTTAATTTTAGTTTAATATGTTTTTAGACATTTCTTTGAAAGACTGCTTGTAAATATATAACAGGCAAGGTGAGATATAAATCAAAATCAATAAATAATAAATAAATAATAAATAAATAATGAAATATACAGGTAGCAGGCACACCATTAACAAGAATACTGTAAAGAAAATACATTATATTTCAGGATATCAAAATGAGATGTATTTCCCATTTTGTGTTGTTACACACTACCATTTAAATTTTTTAAAAAGTAAAACCCAGCTTGCTTAAATTTAATTTTCCAAAGGAATTATTGTCCATATTGTTTTCATTCAATTATTTCCTCAGTACAGTTATGTAGGTCAAGCAATCTACAGCTAAAGCTGCAAGAGACACTGACAGGCAGTCTATGTTTTTATTTTTAAATTATGTATGAAGAAGATGCCTGAACAGCTAAAATTGTTAGGAAGGGCCAAATTGCCATTTCATGTTTTAATGTTCCACCAAAGATGATTCCTTCTACAGTGATCTCTTTATATGAACACAGAATCAGATACTGACTTTAAATAACTGGTTATCATTTATTGTTTAAGCTAAGAGGCACTAGCACTCCCCAAGGGACGCTGGTTCAGTAAAAGTCAACACTTTCTTTGGGGCTCTCAACATAACCTAACCTGGATGATCCCCAGAAACAGAATTTTTATTCCAACAATGGACAGTTTCTCTTGGACTATATATGCTTCATTACAGCCTCTGATACCCATACATTATTCTTAAAAAGTACAAAAATAATTAGCAATGAGATTGTTGTGCTGAAAGGTTTAAATATCATCCCTCTGTTGATATTCAGAATATAAATATAAACTAGCATTTTGAGCTACAAAACTGTTTGACAATAAGATTCAGTGACAAGGCATTTCATTATGTGTATTACATCTCCTAGTATCTGATTCATAAGAGGCAAGAAACATGATGAGAGAAATTCATGAAACAAAAAGTGCTCCGATATTACATACAAAAAGAGGAAGAGGAGATTGGATTTATACCCCGCGAAAGGAGTCTCAGAGCGGCTTACAATCTCCTTTCCCTTCCCTTCCCCACAACAGACACCCTGTTTGGTAGGTGGGGCTGAGAGAGCTCTTTTGAGAACTGCTTCTGAAAGAACAGCTCTGAATGAACTTGTGACTGATCCAAAGTCACATCAGCAGCTGCATGTGAAGGAGTGGGGAATCAAACCCGGTTCTCCCAGATTAGACTCCGCGCTCTTAACCACTACACCAAACTAGCTCTCAACTCTAATTTATGTACCATGTAACTGTTTTCTACCATCACTCATATCATCACCCTGTATATATTGGAAAGATAAATATTTTATGTTCAGGCTGATTAGCTGAATCCAGCAAATCTTTCACGAGAAAGTGCTGATAGTTGTGGATCTTCCCCACGTCCCCCTTCTGCCAGCAGTCCTTTCCAGCCCAGGGAAAGTTGATTCCTGGAGTCTTAGAACTGGTGTGGAACAAGGCTCCCTCTAAGCTGTGGAGTCCTGTGAGCAAAAATTCTACTTGGTGAGCTCCTGGCATTAAAGGTGTGAGCGAACGATTTGGCTGCTGCATGAATTCGTTTGCTCTGAAGCCCTCCTTCCTGAGCTAAGACAAAAATCTGTTAGCCGGAGGCTAAAAAACTGTGAGCTAGCTCACACTAACTCAGCTTAGAGGGAACACTGGTGTGGAATAAGAAATGTGGGTTGTTTGGCTGCAGTGAGGAGCAGGAAAGGGGCAAAATTGCCCTTCCCACCCCTTCTGTCACATCAGCTCCAATTATGGAGGCAAGAAGAGACCTTCCACTTCCTCATTGTGGGCAGCCAGACCATATGGCTATTGCTTTACATAGTTCCTGCAAGCTTGGGAATAATTTTTTCTGGCTTTGAAAATGGCTGTTGTGAAGAGAGGAAAGTGGGAAAGATCCATTATCCTTGTGTGAGCTGATTGCTGGATCAAACCAAATATGTATTTTAAAAACTGTAGAAGTTATTGTAACATCAAATTAGCGCTTAAAATAGGTATATCCAAAACCTTTACACTAGCATTATGGTGGAGATACATCAGAGAAAGACACCTACACACACCTTACTGATTGATATTACTATGTAGTAATATGCATTATATGTAGTTAGATGCATTATAACCTAGAGGCTGATCCAACAAAAGGCATCAACAATCTCCTCATCTGGGTTCGTAAACATATTTTTTGACAATTTCAGGTGTGTAGCCATATTAGTCTGAGTGGAAGAACAAAATTTATGTCCAGCAGCACGTTAAAGACCAACAATATTTTCCAGGGTATAACCTTTTGTAAGCCAAAGCCCTGTGTCAGATAGGATAAAAAAAATTATCTAAAAAATCATCAGGTCAGTTTTGACAGTAATAGGTCAGACACTAGAATAACTTGTAATAATACAAACATGTTTTATGTTTATGTATTCTCTTAAGATGCACATATTCTTATTAATAATAGCCAAGGTGCCCCCTCTGTGCGGATATCTAAATTCGCACATCCGGGGCACTTGGGGGGCAGAGAGATTTTCCTGCACATTTGGGGCAGTCCCCAGATGTGCAGAAAAATCTAAAAACTGTAAAAAGTTATAGGGGGGATACTTAAATCCCCCCAAAAGTAAAGGAGAAGCTCTGAGAAGGCTTCACTGCTGCTGCCACAGGGGAAGGGGGGCAGGAGAAGGCTTGGTGGGCCGGCCTCGCTGCGGCCACTGGGGAGGGAGGGGGGAGGGAGAAATCTTGGTGGGCCAGCCTCGCCGCTGCTGCTAGGAAGGGAGGGGGAAGGAAAAAGCTTGGTGGACTGGCCTCACTGCTGCCGCCGGGGAGGGAGGGAGGGAGAAAGCTTGGCGGATGGGCCAGCCTCGCCGCCGCTGCTGGGGAGTGGGGGAGGAGAAAGTGTGGTGGGTCGGCCTCGCCACCACCACTGGGGGGGAGGGAGGGGGGAGGGAAAAGGCTGGGCTCACCTCCTGCTGCGTCTCCTGCTTCTGCAGGCTGGGAGTTGTGGGGAATACATTCCCCCCGTGAGTATCGTGGGTCCTGCCTCTTGTTCTTATTAATATTCACATTACAAACTTGACTATAACAAAAGTGAGAAAGTGCCCAGTGCACATATTAGCTTCACACTTTCAATCAATGCACAGGGAGGGAGAGAGGGAGCAAGCATGCTGGACCTGCCCCCTGCCTCTGTGCAATCGTCTGGCTGTTTGCAGGGGCGATCACAGTAAGGATCAGTGATGATGGTTTTAAAATGTCACTGATGACAAGAAGGGAGAGTTATAATGCTCTAACAATCTAATAAATTTGGCTAAATTCCCAGCTTTCATTTTTTTTAAAAAAGGAGTTTCCTGTTTCATTGTGGAGATACAAGGGGAAAGACATCTGTGCAACAAATGGGGTCAAAATACTTTTTTTAGAAAAATGAATGCTGGGGATTTAGAGAAACGGATAGATTGTTATAATGCAATAATGATATGTTTATTACCAATTTTCTTTATTAAAAAAGCCCTCCAGGGTCAGGAAGAAAATGGCTGCTGTGGTGGACTGGAACACAGAAACACCATAATGTTGTAGAGAAGCGGGGGGAAAGCCCACTTCCTTACAGCACCTAAACCAGGACAGACAATCAGTGTTGCCTCTTTGCCCCTTCCATGTGGCAATCCTTGAGGTATTTGAAATGCCGTTACGTTTCCTCTTCTCTACGCTAAATACTAAAACAAATACATAGTACTTTAGTCCAAACCCCTCTGGTTCCTAGCATAGTCCCTGAGCCCAAATATACATTACGCCCTTCTACATCTTTCTCCTGAACAAATCAAGAAATAGGCAAGTACCCTGCCAATACCATTCCATCTGGTCATTATGGAATAATTTTACACATTTTCTTATACCTTAATTTGATTCTTTTTCTCTCCTCTTCCTGTTCCCCTTTATTTTTTTCTGCTGCTTTCACTGTTCCATCATAAGCAGAGTTACAATCTTTAAAGTTCACTAAATTCAATGGATTTACAAAAGTGCAAATATACTTCAGATGGTGCTGTCAGTCAGATGAACAACCTCGGTATACCAGTTCTACATCTAAAGTGTACCATGAAATACAGTACAGTGCATTACTGCAGAGTCATCTAAAATTCAGAAGGAAAATGCTTGCTAGAAAATACTCAAGCTTGAAGAAATAAAAACCACTTGGATAATCATCCTTAAGCATAAGCACAAACTAGCTTATGTTCATTTTAAAATGATTACATAATCCTTGCAAACAAAATCGTTAATAGGCAGTGTTAAAAGTACCTCACCTGTAAATAAGCTTCCAGGCCTTGACGACGCTGTTCCAACACTTTGGGCACCCAGTTCCTTACATGCTTAGAAGGGATTTCTGGAGTTCTTATGAATTTCTTAAGCTAGAAATACAAACAACAAGCAAATGTAACAGTCTTTTCCCTATAAAGTCTAGAAATAAAATTGTAAAAAAGAAAAACTGTAAGAATGGACAGTGTAAATTTATATGTAGAAAAATAGGAAAAGGCATAATGACAAGAGTACAGTTACCTTAATTTGGTAATCAGAAAGTTCTCAGCCTACAGATAAACTGATTTTATTCAATTACAGAAGTTATTCTTTATAAGAAGGTGATGTGAGTTTGCAATAGGTAGTCATTTAGAGGCCACATGCTGAACAATTTCTCAAGTCAGGAACGAAACATTCCATTATATCAGCTAAATATTGCTATGTAGACAGGTCAATCCTCAGGCCTAATAAAATCTCAAGAATTTAGTTTGGCTCACATTTCAACTGTACTCTTGTGCATTGTTTAAAATGAAACTTTAAAAACTGCATTATGTGCAAAATGCAATTGACTTTAGTCCCTTTGTAGGATTCAGCATTTTCAAAACAACTATCAAGTTGTGCTAGTCTGTAATATATATGAAATTACGGTAGTTTATTATTTCTGAACCATGGCTGAATAGAAAAGCAGCAATCTGTGGATTTCAGGAATTGAAAAGAATGTTCATAGTTTGCAGATAAGATATTTGGGAAACAGGGAGAAAGCAAGGAACTGAGTGGCCAGATCTCAGAGACTGCATTTGAGGGAAAACGGAAGAATGTAAGATCAGCAGTTCATCTGGGTCAGCATTCTGTTCTACACAGTGGCCGACCAGTTGCCCTAGAGGTCCAACAAAGAGGAAACAGAGGCCAGGAAAAAAATCAAGCTCAGCATTTGTATAATACTAAATTGAGAATATATTTTATGGAAGCTCTCTGCGTGACTTTGGGCCAGTCACACACTTTCTCAGACAAACTAACGTAGTTGTTGTAAGGAAAAAATGGAGGAGAGGAGAATGATTTATTTATTTATTTATTTATTAAATTTATATCCCACCCTCCCCCGTAGGGCTCAGGGCGGCTTACATAGCAATGATGTAACCCACTTTCAAGGAGAAAGGCAGCGTATAAATGAATTAAACAAATAAATAAAAATATTACCATCCTGATTCTGAACTCTTGAAAGCTCTCCTGATGAAATCTGCCTAACTTTAATTGCCTTGTGATCAATGAATGCATAAAGGTACTCTTTCCACTTCCAAATCAACTTTTAAACTTGGGGAACTTTAGAAAGATGGGTGGAAAGATGAAGGAGCCTGACATATCCAGTAATCATCCTTCATCAGAATGCAGCTAGCATCTTGGGAAAGGGGTGCAAGCTATACACAGACATAGCCAATATATTCCAGAGCAACCTCCCTAATGGAAACTGAATACGGGTCATGCAATATATCACATCCTACTGTACAGGATCATGTAAAATAGCTGAAATGTGTGTAATACTGACATTCTCTCTACACAATACAGATTTATATTCTGGTTTACTTAGCAGAATACATGGCTGAGGTCAGACTGGCAGTTTGAAGCACGAGGGAGTCATGGTAAAAAGATCCGGCACAAACTGTTCCGGGTTTTCCCGGTCACACTGCACCAACTGATGTGGGAGTATACTGAGGAGGAGGCGCAAGGGAGCATTCGCACTGTTGGCCCGCCGCTGGCAGAGGTATGGCTGTAAGACGGCTTTCTTTTTGGTAATCCAGAGATATGCACATATGCGCATAAGCGCACAAGCAATTGCGGCTTTTGGCGTTCACACTTTGTTGGTACGGGATGAACGCGGGATGACCGCACTCTCCAGGGTTTGCTACCACTTTCACCAGGTACTTTTTAAACTCGGGAGGCAAGCGCTACAAGATGGGCTGAGTACGGCTGGGGAACGCCTGACAGATGTGCCCGTGTGAATGGCCCCTTTAATCCATTTGTGAAACGTTTCTGGCATGTGCTTATCTCGGGGCAAACTGCCAGTCTGAACTCAGCCCATGTTTTAAAATCAAGTCCAATGGATGTCAATGCTATGGAAACACCAGTATGATTTTGATATTATGACAAAAGGTTTGACATAACGGGAAGAAGCCTGTTGAATCCTGGGGCTCATGCACTCCCTGCCTTCCTTTGTCTTCGTACATGGCAGTCTAATGAAAGACTCCTGCCTTCTCAGAAAACAACAGTTTCTTGTTACATCTAAGCTACAAAAATGATTTGGTTTCTTCCATATAAATAAGATCCAAACTTGAATTAACCTAGATTGTGGAATCCTGGCTTGCAGGAAAGAGAGCAAACCATGCCCTGGCCCCCACCTGGTGGAACATGCTCCCTATTGAGATCAGGGCCCTGCGGGATCTTATGCAATTCCGCAGGGCCTGCAAGGCGGAGCTGTTCCACCAGGCCTTTGGCTGAGGCAGTGGGCATCCACATATTGCCCCCCCTCCCCGAGGTTGCAATCTCCCACCTACTGATAACCGGCAGTACCTAGTTACATCAATAGGCCAGATTCCTCCCTAGGGCAAGCATGACTACTGATTTTATATGTTATAAAGTGTTTTAAATTTTATTGTATTTATTAAAATGTTGTAACCAGCCCTGAGCCTGTTTACGAGATGGACATAAATGCGAAAAATAAAATAAAATATTTTGAAGCTTAGATCTAATGCAAAACATTGGTTTAACCCCGAAAGCAGACGCTGTATGCAAAGGGGAGGATAAGTGTACAAGCCCAAGGATCTATCAAGCTTAATCATATAGCAACAAACCATGGTTTGAGAGTACTTTCTGTGTGACTTTCAGGAGGTCACTCTCTTTCATTCTTGCACATTTCAAAAGAAAAGACAGCATCTAGCATGAATTTCCTGTCTTTGATAACCGGGCATTTTCTAAGTGCTGTATTGCTACTAAATAAAGGCGAAATGGGAAAAATCACAAGGACAGAAACTCTAGGCTGATTTTGACATGCAGGCTCGCAGGGGGTTGAAAATTTTACATTTCATCTTTGAGGAACTTGAGAAGATGTCACCCTAGCAAAAGCTGTGTAAAGAAAAGTCTCTCTTCATGAACAAAGGCAACTCCTTTGCTTAGGAAGCATTCTACAGTTTTCTCATTCTCAGTTAAAATATGCCAGCATACATTGTTCTGACAACAACCACTAAGTCACAGCTAAAGCCATGATTCTGGATACCATTTGAAAGAAAAACTTCTATAGAAAGAGGAAATCCAGAAGATCTCCTGACATTTCAAATATGGATTTTAGTATTTTGTAGGTTTCAAAATATTTGTTATGGATTTCAAAGCAGTGCCCCCCTCCTCCTATCATAAACTCTGATCAAAATCCATGTGAGCAGACAATTTTAAAAGGGTGAGGGGCTCAATCACATAAACCAAACCAGCCTCCCGTGCCATAAAGTATAGTAGCCCTGACCTTCAGTAGTGCCTTTTCAGGAATACATTGGGCTGTAGGAAGAAGGGTGAACTGTGAGGGTAACATTTCATGAGCAGAGTTTTACCCAAGGTTCACTGAATCCAAGCCATAAGCATTAATGTAATATAATTCACATTTCATAATCTGGCAAACATTTTTCTCTAAGAAAAGACACCTGTTTATGTGCCCGAAACCTGGTCCGACTTGTATATGAAAGACTGGATTTTCCATGTTCTGCAAAACTGTCTTTTTACCTTACTCATTATGTAAAGTAAAAAATACAGCAGTAGCTGAAATAAAAGTACTGAGTGTTTTTCAGTCATATAACCAGGCACAAAAAATTCTGAAAGAAAGACCATAGTGACTTCTGAAAGAGTGAAAATAAGGAAGATATAGCATTGGTTTTATAACAATATACTATTTACCATAGTAAATATACTGTAATATATGCATGTATTTACCTTTTTATGGAGAGCGTGAAATTCACTATACCTTTTTTCAACAAAGTGCTTTCTTCCATTCATTAGCACCTCTATCTTAAAGACCTAGGGAAAAAAAATATTTTAAAATGGATTATTTTCATCTGCCTGATATTTTCCCGAAATCTGAAATTTGTGATTTTTTACTTTCCTTTAACTATTGTAGCTGACCCCCACTAACCCCTCCTCCAAAGTATCAGGAAACACTGAGGTGCAGCAAGGATTAATGATCACTCTGATGACATGTTCCACCCATCCAGTTACATCACATCTAGATTTATTTATTTATTTATTTATTTTTCGCATTTATACCCCGCCCTCCCCAATGGGCTCAGGGCGGCTCACAAAAAAAAACCCCGAGCCATAATTAAAACATATGATACATAGTAAAAACATCCAACATTAAAACAGTAAAACAGTGGTGCTCAATCAATTATTAAATTTCTGATATTTTAAAAAATTAAATATATCATACTTTAATAATTTTCATAAATTGTTATGATTGCAAAAAAAATAACAGCATACACTCAATTTGGGAAATAGTCTGTCTCTCACTCAGTCATGCATACAATATGCTAACAACCTTATTGATGTACAGTTCAATTTCAGTAGTATCTTGTACTGCACAAGAGATAAAAATGTGAAGACTACATTGCAGGTTAATTTCTTCCTCACCTACATATTCATCTCTAGTCTCAGCTGGGTCTGCTCTAGTGTTTACACCATTAGAAAAAAATGTGGTGCTAGCTCATTTTCTTTGCATGATGTGTATGACAGCTTTTACTGCTGCCTGTAGAAGGTTGAAAGGCCAGATAAAGAAGCTCTCTAGATCCACTAATTAGTAACCACTAACATGACATTTTCTTGATTTTCAGGTCCCTGGGTCAGATCCCAGGGCAGATGACAAGATACCTCAAAAGCCTCAGAACCTAGTGAACCAAGATCAGGAGAAAAGCATCGTAATTAGAGACCACCTACTGTATCCAAAGGTTCCTACCTTCAGATTTCTTGTATTAGGAAACATGAAGTAACCAATATTGGGAGAAAATGCACTTGTGTAGGACCTTCTTCTCAGAAAGTTTCCCTTTGGAAAATAAACCTGAGAATGGGGTTTTTTTGATGAGAAAAACTTGAAACTTGAAATAATATTATTACTAGTAAAATATCTATTGTCACAACAAAAAACTAAATAGAAGTCAAAGTATTGCAAAATTCTCCTGGGAGAATGCATCTGCTTTATTTTTTTCTGAAAGAAATTAATAGCAACAATGTCCTTATCTGGAAGAAAATACGTTAAAAGTATTTGGATGGGGACGATTGACCAACTGACCACAGATTCTTGAAGAAAGTAAGTCATACCCAGCCTTGTCAGTTGCAGCCCATTTCCCACAAACCTTAGAACCATTAATTACTGAATCATCTCCTGTTTCCATCTTAGGGTTTGTTTGTTTGATCTAGCACCATGATAGCATGACAAACTGACAGAATAACTGCTGATTAGGAAGCTTAGATTATGCTGTATTGCACCCAAAGTTCAATAAACAGTATTCAAAGATACATGAGACAAGTTTGGACAAAGGGTTTCAGAGCAGAAACCCAGCATCTCCTATCCCAAGGCCGCTGAATCTGTCCTTTTCTTGCCAGAGGATCCTTTCATAATATTAGAAACAGCCATTCATACTGGGAAGATCTACTTTTGTGAATTCTTTCCATTTAGCACAATGTCTTCCTCTCCCAGTTACTGGAAACAGCATGTCAGGTCACATACTAGAATCAAATGCAATAGATTTGGTCACCTACACTTCTGTTTTCTTATCATTATTCTGCTGGCATAAGCTATTCAGTCCCATAATCTTGAAAATAAATTTGTTAAAAAAAACTTGTAGTGTCAGTCATGGTCAAACACTATGATTTTCAATACTGTTTACAAGCCAACAACTATAGTTTTTGTAATGTATTCAGATGCTGCCATGAATGCATTAGATGTAACGTGAAACATCTCATTGGGAAGCAATGTAAAGCTTCGTCTTGGACAGGGATTCAAGTCCAAGACAAATACGTCCAATCACATGCAAGCAAGCTGGAAGCGGGAACGTGTGTGATTGGTCCTTATGCGATCAACCTGATAGGTTGTTATCTGTAAAGTAGGAGTGGCTATATTAGCCGGGAATGTTTAAATACCGAGCAGTTTCAATGGGCAAACTGTTCGGGCTATCAGATGTTGTACCGTGTTGGAGAAGTGATCGTGTGGAAGAATAAACTTGAGTTTTGGCTGAAATCACTCTCTGACTCTTTGTTAAGCTCAGGACTTAACAGTTTTTGAACTTGGGTTGGACATTTCACTGGTCAAAAAAGAAAACACTGTTTGGCCAGCTCCTAACTGTTGCAGGGTGTTCATGTTGCCTGTGCTACCAAAATATACCAAAATGAAAGGCATTATTGGTTTCATGGAATATTGGCAATGTTTAACCACAGTCCAGGCATAAGCAGTTAATTAACCAGTGCACTAACCTTATATTCAACGATATTACCTTATGTGCATTGTTTAAACTTAATCACAAATTACAGATCAGTCAATATCACACTTTATTAGGTACTTTTAATTAATAAAATGCTGTAAAGGTCTGAGAAATGTCACAAGGCTCTAGAAATTCTTTGAATAATGCTCCTTAGAAATTTTTATGCTGATATTCTAAGCATGTAAAATTTAAAGCCGAGACAGAGTTTACATTAATTTATTTTAATTTAATTTATTTAAAACATTTATTAGTCACCTTTCTACTTAAGGTGCCTTGCAATATAGATACAAGTTATAAAACACATGGTAAACAGTTTTAAATCACAATTAGGACTGCCAATAAATACAAACTAAATCAGTCAAATGCAGTCCTAAATAAAACTGTCTTCAACTGTTGCCTGAAGATTGACAGGGAGGGGGCCACGAGCACCTCCATGGGGGGGTTGTTTCAGAATTGTGGGGCTGCCACTGAAAAGTTGAATGGTTCAGTACTGATCAATATCTATATTGTTCCCTTGCCATGAGTTACCCATTACCTGGTGATGTCTACACAATGAAAATTCATATCACTGCATGGTCCATAAAGACAGACTTCCCTCAGAGGCGGTAGCATCCTCGGGGGTCTGGTGTGTAGGGTTAAGTTTACCTAGCCAGACAGCACGCAGGAGACCAGCAGTTTCAACAATATGCTTCTTTACTGCTTCACATACAAACTTGGAATTATTTATTTATTTATTTATTTACATGGGATTTATATACCGCCCATGACCCCTAATGGGTCTCAGAGCTGTTTACAATGAACTACTGCGTAGTTAATAACTAGCTAGGGCCACAATTCTCCTGGGGAGGGGATATCCTACCAGCACCCATGCGGCATAGTCCTTCTTCCTCTCTGGCGGCCTCGTTCCTTTCGGCGATCCGGATGGCTGGCGACCAAGTCCGAGCAGGCTCTCCGCCGCCTCCTCTTCCCGCTCCAGCGCTGCCCAGGCGGGCTCACCTTCATCACTGCCACTGCATGCCATGTCCCACTCCTCCTCCAAGCAGGCGAGCCAAGGAAGGCTTCTACCCCACCTCTCCGCAGACCAAAAGTCTGGAGTTGCGCCACAGTAGTGGTGCGATCTTTCCATTATATTTGATGGGGCCATAGAATATAATGGAAAATTGCACTGCCACTGTGGCTTGACTCCACAGAGAAGGGGTTTAATGCCCTATTCTGTGGAGTAACGCCACAGCAGCGGCATGATCTTTCCATTATATTCTATGGTCCCATAGAATATAATGGAAAGATCGTGCTATTGCTGTGGCACAACTCTAGAAAAAAGGAGTGCAAGGGCGGGGCTGTCGGAGCGGTGCTCCGGCGCGCTCCAGCCCCAAATGACCCAATGATGACACACTTCAACTTAATTTTTCACTGGAATTGGGTAAAAGAGAGGATATCCTGACCCAATGTCTAGAGATAGTATTGACCTACAGGACCAATAAACTGAAGCTCAATCCCGGTAAAGAAGGAGCTGCTATTTGTTTATAGTGTGGCCAGTTAGGGAAAACCTGTCTTGGATGGGGTAACCTGTTTTGGGTACCTGTTTTGGGATGGTGTAACTGACTGGTATGGTTTCCACAAACAGAAGTGAAGACATGAGATCTCTCAATAACTGAGTAGATACTGGTGGGCTTTTGCTTCCAGAACCCAAGACCCAGATTGGATAAAACGTTTGTACTCATATGGGATGGAGAACTGAAAAGCCACTGTTCCTTCTCTCTCTGTGTGTGATACTGTGGGGGGGAGTATGAAGCTGCAAAGGACAGAATCTTTGGTATGCATACATCCATTTGAATCTCCCAATGGAGAGGAAAGATCAGATGCTAAGGTATTGTAAGTTCCAAGTTATATTAATAATCTTTCCATTTTTCATTTCTTTTATTAGTCTGCAGTTCTGTAGCCTGTATTCTCTCTAGAATTATGCAACTAGAATAAAGCTTGTATTTGTTTAAGAGATAAATGATTGCCTTGATTCCTACCTGCGTGCCTTGCTGTGGCTAGCATTACTGAAGTAGCCCTGGTTTGATGCTTCCCTTGGCATCAAACTGGTGAGGGGGCAAAGATCAGAAGATGGTGGGGACTACCAAAGGGAAAAACTCTAAACCCCGCTTAAGAGGGGCTTGGGAAGCATCAAGGGATCCCTCCTGGGAAGAGTGAGTTCCCTCACCAAAAAAACTCCCCCCCACCCCAGCTTCTGAGCTGGACTCTGCCTTACTTGTTTGCCCAAGCTGGGAGTTAGGGTACCTGTCAGGTGCTGGCAGCAACACTGCTGACTGGCATTGGTTATGAAGAACTGTTTCTAGGCCCAATTCAAGGTGCTGGTGATTACTCTTAAAGCCATAAACCAGGAGTGTCAAACATACGTTTTGTGGGCCAGAATTGGCCCCTGTAGGGCTCCTATTCAGCCTGCAAGCAACTGGCTCTCGTCTGCTTCCTGTTTCGTGCACCACAGCTCGCTTTTGCCCAGCTCTCTTCTCTCCTGCTCCCGGCTTCGCAGAGGACAGAAAG